TACGCAGAGATTAACTATGTTTTCTTACGTAATTTTTCGCGCTGAATCCGAATCCGGCTGCAGAATTGCTCTATCACGTCGAGATTTCGAGAAATCTTAACCCAAAACAGCCAAATAAGCCATTTTCAGCCATATTTGAAATTCTTTTTAATTGAATTTCAAATATGGCTGAAAATGGCTTATTTGGCTGTTTTGATGTTCACACATCAATCGGTCTGTTTTATATTTTTATACACTTTTAAAAGTAACGTATTAAAGTATTAAAGTAACTATACAGTGAAATGTCGACACATAATACAGTGCTAATGAAACTATAGATAAATAAGTCGGTAAATGACAGCAATAAACGAGTGCCATCTATCATCGAACATATGAAAAGGAGATGACTTTTTGAGACGACGTATCTTACATAAAATTTTGACATTTCGGATTTCGCATCACGATATCTCCGTTTGTGGGACACGTAGAGGTAAAATAAACGTTTATTATATATTTCGGACCCAAACTGTCGATGGAGCTCATATTCAGAACTCGATTGGTCTAGCCTTTATTAAAAAAACCGAGAATTTTTCAGATGCTCGGATGCCCACAACTCGCTGACTCGCATAAAGACGCGTGTCTCGCGCTGCGCGCCCACTTGGCGCGAGATACTACCGTGCATGGTGGAAGTATACAAGGGGTGCGTTCCGTATCTCGCATGATGCGCATAATGCGTCGTTTATCCTTGTTGCTCACCAAATATTAAACAAGGACAATGGATGTATCATGCGCATCATGCGCGATACGGAACGCACCTATAGTGAACCATTCCGGTGCATGCGCAGTAGACCGAGAGGAGCGGGGGTATGTCAGCCAATCAGAATTTGGGCAATTTGTCCGATTCAAAATGGCCAACAGTCGCATTGTCGCATGATATAAACATTAATGCAGTAAGCACATAGTCAAGATATTTTGTGTGTATGTATGTAATTTCAATTATGCCGACGTGCTGTGTCATCAATTGCAAAAATAAAAGTGGTCGCGGCAAAGAGAAAATAAAAATGTTTTCTTTCCCTCAAAAGCCGGACTGAGGAAGCAGTGGCTGGAAGCCTGTAAACAAACACATACTTCAAAACACATTCAGTGTGAGTATTATCGACTATAAAAAACATTATATTTCCTAAATTTTTGATTATAATGAAGATTATTGTATTAAAAAAAAATTTAAATCGTATAATTTATTTAACAATCTGAAACATAACCTTTTTAATTCTACTTTAATTCGTTATATCTTGTAATAGTCGAAAATAATTAATATTGATTGTTTCAAAATTTCATTGTGATATTTTTAAATATTAATTGTTTTTGACTAATGCAAGATATAATAAAATGAAAATAGGATTAAAAAGAAACAGATTTAAATTTTAGAAATACAATGATCTTTATTACATTCTAAAATTTAGGCAATATAATGTTATTTATTTCTATTTTTATTTCGTTTTTTTGTTATATGTGTTTGTTTTATTGTTATTTATTTCGTCATTACATTACTAACAAATCATATTTTTAGATGTTATTTGTGAACGACACTTTTTGCCCGAGTGCATCGAAGAAATAATGACCCAAGAGCATTTCGGCAGACAACCTAGATTGATGCGTCGTGTTAAAAGAAACGCAGTTCCAACTGAGTTTTTGGATCTCCCAAACGAAAGAAAACGTAGTCGTCAGAAGGAGAAAGAAAATCGATTGAGTATAGAGTAAGTTAAACGTTTCTTATTGAGTTAAGTTTTGATCAATTAATTATTTATCATGGGTCAAGAAATTTTTTTTCAAGAAATCATTTTAATTTATAAAAAATCATCTAGGTCACATATTTAAGACGGATATAATGTATCGATTACCATTACAAAAATATTAATTTATTTGTAAATAGTTGTACCCTCGATTGCTCATAGGTACAATTTAAAAAGATTTCTTGAAACAAAAAATTGTCGGTCAATGATCGATCATTGATCGATCGTAACTTTAACTGGATCCTTCCTTTGTATTCCACATAATGTTATACCATGTTTAAAATCTACAGGCCTATTTTAACTGAATTTATAAGTTATTACAGTGACATTCAAATGTCATACAAATATTTGTCCATTCTTACAGCAACGCTCCAATGCCATCGTAGAATGATCTCCTGTCTTGTGCGAAAAGATTTGCAGGGACAGAAAGCGCAAAGGAAGAAGAACCGATGAGCATAATCAGTCGTTGGAATGTGCAGAAACAGGACCATTGTATGTATCTATATTTGTTATGAATGTAAATGCATCTTCATGTATGTCAATACCAATATTTGTCCTTAAATATTCAATAACATAAAATAATTCTAAAAAGTAAAATGTCATTACATACAAACAGTTGTAAATATATTAAATTGTATGTATTATACTTTGCGTTAATTTTATACTATCGATTAATAGGTATGTTTATCGTATTGTTTATAGATCTGAACAAACAAATAATAATGCAATAGCTACGCTTCTGCATCGATTGAAAACCCTCGAAGAAGAAAAGAAACAGGCCGATTTGAAAGTAGCTCAATTCAGCGACGAAATTGTGCAGTTAAAGAAGAACTTCAAAGAAACACTTGCAAATAATGCAAAGACTATTGCAAATCTGTCCGAAAAGAATGAGGAACTGCAGAAAAATTTGGCCGAAACACGTAAAACAGATTCCGAGATTGCGAATGATACACTTCGCATCGTTTTTACGCCTGGACAAATACGAAAACTTACATCCTCAAAGAACAAGCGCATAAGGTGGTCAGCTGAAGACATCTTCGGCAATCGCTCTCCGATCCCTTAGCAGTAGGGCGTATAATTACCTAAGAAAAGCAAAGAATTTTCCCTTACCTTGCGTTCAAACGCTGAGAAACTGGATTGCGAAATTTAGTGTCCAACCAGGCATTTTAAAAGATGTCTTGGAAATAATGGATAATAAAGCTCATCAATTATCAAAGCTAGAAAAGCTAATATTGTGTTTTGATGAGCTGTACATTTCTAATAAAGTGGATTTGGAACGTCGGCAGCAGAAAATATATGGACCGCATAAGACAAGCCAGTTCATAATGACACGCAGCTTATTTGGTAATTGGAAGCAGCCTATATTCTATGATTTTGACAAACCGATGACAAAAGAAATATTAATGGAAGTTATAACGCGTTTGGACCAAATAGGGTATACCGTAGGGTAGCAGTCACGAGTGACTTGGGACCAACCAACATAAGGTTGTGGAAAAATCTGAATATAGGAGTAGTGCTTCCAATAAGTGCGCAAAAAAGTCTCACAGATTCAATGGAAGAATCGGCTGATAAAAGATGCTTCTTTGTACATCCATGTGATGCAAATAAAAAAGTGTATTTTTGTATTTTCCGACATGCCTCACTTATAGCGTTTTCGATTGGGCAAAAGTTAGTGCGCAGCAGTGCGCACTCAGTTCACACCAACACTGGACGAGTTCCATGGGTTGCACTGAATAGTGCAAGTTCAAAAGAATACGCCAAGATTTTCAGTGCTAAAGCTGAAACTCATTTTTGTTCACTTTGAAGCAATGTTCAACAAAATGTTACAAAACCACAGTAAAAGATATTAAGAGTAGGGACAAGACCCCGTTTTC